TTGCTTTTTTTTAAAAAAAATCCTATTTTGCTTTGCAGCATTTAGAATCAGAATATATTAAAAATGTTTGTAAATGAACAAAATTTTAGCTGGATGTCATCTAGATACTATTTGTAGATCCTCAGTTTTAATCCCTGGGTTCCTGTGGGCTTCCACCTGTAGTGTGAATAGAATTAATGTCTTCCCCAGCTTGTTTCCCCAAAAAGACTGTGGTTTTCCTCCTGCCTTCTTTAACTTTAAAAAAGCAATCTTCCTAAATGAAAACAAAAGGCTGCTGTAGGAGAACAGCATCACTGTAAAAAGAATCACTTTCATTTGTTAACACTTGTTTTGTACGTCCTTAGAACATTTTTGTTGTGTCAAGGGGACAGTATCTGATATTAAATGCAGGCACTGCTTTAATTAGCTGCATGCTCATACTTTAATACAGCATAATGTATTTACAATTCGATAAGACAGGAGATAGAGCTGATTAGCAGTTTAGGGAATTAATCCTTCACTGAATACCTTGTACTCGCACTGAGCATGAGAGCTATTCTGAAACTCCTTATATTTAAAATTGTAATCTATAATATCTCCTAAACCAGCAATTTTTCAAAGTTAATTATAAGTCAGTCAGCAGTTGTGGGTAATTATATGCAGGCTTACTTTTTATCTTATATTTGTTGGTGAATAGTACATCAAATAACTTAGCGCACACACTGTAATCTGCATAATCCACCTAATGTATTTATTAATCTGAAAAAGGTAGGGTGAAATGTGATCAAAGTACCACTAGCACAGAGAATACACACTTCTACATCTTCCAAAACCGTGATCAAGATTGGAAGCACAAAACCAACCTACCGCTCTGCTGGCGCATCACCAAGGTCGCTACTGTCAATCAGAGCCTTCCTGTTGCCATTAACAGGCTCGGTAAGAAGCTCTGTGGGCCAAATCCCGTTATCCTTTGGCTACATAAACCAGCTACAGAACTGGAGATGTTTTGCTGAGCGAGGATGTGGTGGGCAGCAGGCAGATGTGGGGCCTCACAGCAGCTGACTCCATTTCTCTTTGTCCCAGCGGGGCTCCTTTACACAAATACTATTTACACTGTCCGTTGCACAGGATAATAGGATTTGGCCCTCTGCATTAAAGTAATACCCATTAACTATGATCTTTTCATTCATCAATCCACTCTAATGGGAATAATCTGTAGGTATCGAGGGAGCGGGAGAGGTTAACGCCAGCTTCTCGGAGTCAGCTGCCAGAACACAATTATTGTACAATACGTCTCAGGTAGCCTCGCAGGAGGTAGTGTTACAGGGTAATGAAGGTGAGCTTAACTTCTGAAATACCCGGTCATTTCCAAGATTTATTAAAGTCTTATGTCGTTTTTTGCCCCATTTTGAAGCACTTCATTAATAAAAAGTATCTATAGCAAAGTGCATGGACTGCCTTTACACAATGTTCAGTGTCTCAAAACGGTAGCTTTTAGGCAATGTAGTGGTTTGCTTTTGGTTGTGTTTTTTTTTTTTCTTTTCAACCTAAGTTAGAGGCCTCTGGAACTGCGTTTTGTGCTTTGAGAAACAAAATAGGTAAAAATAAAGTAGTTGTAACCGTCCCATGACACAGAAATGCAGCAAAACTTGCAGGAAAACAATAGCAGGAACTCATGGGTAAATCCAGAAGGAAAAATAGCCAATGTTAATAATGGGTCAAGTGTGGCCTTTAGAGAAACTGGTAATCCAATAGTTATCCTAAACTTAACATACTCAGCTTCAGCCTGATACTCTGCATGTTCTTTGCTATGAACATACCAGCAGCCTCAGCTATTTCTGGAAAATATAAAGTAAAAAGTTCACATTGGACTGTTGGATTGAGCAGGAACGCTGAGCCTTTGGACTGAGTAGGACTAAAAGGAAAATGGCCTTTATATGACCGATATCCCCAAAGAGCCGTATGTGTTTCAACAAACAGGATGGAAAGTCGAATCATGCAAAATGCCTGGCCAAAGGTACAACCACTTAAAACATTTGGATTTGTATCCAAACCTGAGCTTCAAGCGAGCAGAAATGGAGGTAATAATCTGTAAAAGTAGTCCAAAATATACATAGGCAAAAGAAATCCCAGACCCCCATACCTTGCAGCTTGGACAAGCTAAGGGACTTCTGGATGAGAGACACTGAAACATCTAAAAAGGCTTCAGCTCCTACGTATAGCCAAATACTATGTTTTTTACTTCCTTTGGTTGTAATCGTGTGTTTTCCTTTTTGTAATTAAAGCACAATCTTCAGCTCTTGTGGAATAAACCTTCAACAACGTTATAATTAAGGCTGCCTTAAGGTGACAGGCAAGGTGAATGAGCATGAAGCGGCAAACATAAGGCGCGCCGTCTCCAGAGAGGCATCAGGCTGGAGGAGAGCGAGATGTGCAGGCAGCTGTGACACCAAGCTTGGGACCAGCTTTGCCTGGGATGGGGGACCGCTGCTGCCGCGTGCCGGCTTCAGGGATATGTCGCCTGTGTAATGAGCAGAGCTGCTCCGCAGCTTTGGGCAAACCCAAAGCGTGAAATGTTGTGGCATGGCCACAGTTTCATCAAGTGAATAACGACATTACAGTGTGACACGGTGAGTTCTTGTGCCTTTGTTTTTGGTGTTATTACATGGCTGAGCAGTCAGAGAAACTGCTGCGTGTCCTCAGAGGGGCTTCTCGGCAAGTCTAATGGGCTAAAGGGGAATTTCATTGAGTCCAAGCCCAGAACTGAATTCTCTTTTTTTATTATTTTTTTTTTTATTTAACAAACTACCACAAACTGCTATTGGGCAAACAGTGCACTCAGTTGTTGTTATTTCACAAAGGAAACCTCTGACTTTCTCCCTGCTAACCCAATTCTGTGAGGTGCTGAGCATCTTCAGCCCTCTCCTCCTTGAGTGGGAATCAGGTTTCACTCAGAGTGCTCAGGTGCACAACAGGACTCATTTTAAAAAGAAAAAAAAAAGGAATAGATTAAGTATTAAGTGGTTAATCAAAGACAAGGGCTGATATAGGAACAGCCTCCACTCATAGCATCTTCAGTGAATTGTTTCCCCTTAAAGGTATTTGTAAAAGTATTTTTAGTGTTCTTAAATTCTTAAATTTAGTGTTCTTAAATTCATTGTGGTATGTTTATGACCAAATGGGAGGAAACTTAAAATATGTTTACATGAAATAGACATTAAAAAAGGGCAATTATTAGATCCCATGAAATGAGGATTTTGTAGATATGGGTATAATAACATATTAAACTACATTTATGTATCTGTATAACTTAGGATAATCTCCAAGGAGCCCCATATCTGAATGAGCTAGGTTTTACTGTACACCCGTGACTGAGTTTCAAGGGAGGATTGCAAGTGTTTGATACATCTCTCTCAGGGACATCACCTGTGTGAAGGGTCACGAGGATTTAGGACTTTGGAGTGAATTCTGGCCTCATTAAATCAATGGCAGAACTCCTGTTAAATTGAAGGCAAACTCCCATTGCCTCCAGTGTTGTCAAGCCTTCACCTCTGCACATCATAGAGCGCAGCAGTCGCAGGGGCGACAGCGGACACTGCTGTAGGTTTCGCTCTGCAGACGAGCACGTGGATGTATCATGGATTCTGGAGATCTCTATGTACAATTCCCATGTTCACAGCTGTGCTGTCAATGGGTAAGTTAGAGCAGGCATACAAGGAAGAGTTCAGGGCTGTCTGGAGTGGTACAAGTCCTGGGATCAGACCTGACCCACAGCCACAGTGTCGGTCTGGATAATTTCCTCATGTAAAGAGATTCACAGGAGAGAAAAAGCGAATGCAAATTCAGAGAAATTTCCTGGTGCTTTCCTAATCATCTTGTCAACGATAAGGAGGTTTTGCCAAAGAAATTAGCCTGGGG